CAGTGTCTGGTGGGGACAGACCTCTAGCCATGTTCATGCAGCACTGCTAGGCCTGGTGAACCGACCAACGGGCGAGAAGTCTGCTCTCGTGGTCTGCAGAGCACTGTGTGCGGAGGGCAGGTTTGGATAGCATTTCAGTGGGGATGGCTCTGAGAAAGTGACTCTCAGAGATGCAAGAGATGTTTGGGTGAAAAAGGACAAAATACACTGTGTTTCTTTTCATTTGATGCTAATTTTTTTGGTGTGTCTATGTGTGCAGGCATGCATGCCACAGCATGTGTATGGAGGTCAAAGGACAACTTGCAGGAGTTGGATCCAACCAGTTCCCCAGTTACAGCACTTCATGGGAAGGTTCTTCCCACGCCAACCAGTTCCCCAGTTCCTGGTGAAGACTGATCAAGCGTCCTACAGTGTAATTCATGGCTGACATTGCCTGCCAGGCCTCCATGTGGAGGGGCTCTATCCAACAAGACTGCTCCAGGTTAAGATGCCGGCCTTGAGTCCGGGCCTCACGACTTATGCACCACCAGCTATAAAGCAAGGACACCACAAGCCCTCTTCAACTCTGGTGATTTGCCGGGCTGGCTCACAGGGCTAAGGTCAAGCACCTTGCCCACATTTGCTGGTATCAAACAGTGATAGCCAGATGGAACAGACGAGCGAGACAAGGTACTGGGGAGATGGGTCTGGAGCTTCCATGTCCTTGGGCACCACCTTCTCTGACAGCTCTCTGACTCCATCTTTTGGGGTGTTAAGGACTGTCATCATTAGCTATTGGCTAAGAGCCAGTTGAGTTAAAAGTTCCAGCCCCTTCCCCATCCCTGCCCTTGGGACTTTCCAAAAGTTAGCCCTGTTGGCTTAAGCCAGTTGAAAGAGTCTTACTATAATACACAGAAGATGCCCTTTTAAACCTTTATCACGCAGGAAATTGCAGGGCTTTTAGGAGCTTTGTCCAAGAAGTGAAGGGAGGTTCTTATCTAAGTGTAATCTGGGGAAGAGCATGAGGAGCAGCAAACTCAGAGGCCTTGAGGAAAAGCAGTCTGCGTGGCTGGAGTCCGTGTAGAGCAGCTTTGAGGTCAGGTGCAGATGAAGTTGGACTAAAGCTTTGGAGGAGGTCATGAAAGACTAAAGGGATTTTTTTAAAAGTCAGCTGGAGGTGCAGGACTATTTCCCCAGCACTGGGGAGGCTGAGTCAGGGTGCAGAAGGTTGAGGCAAGCAGCCTTAATGGAGTTCTAGGCCAGCCTGAGACTTGGTCTGCAAGCATGGCTAGCTGAGTTAGCATGCTTGCCACCAGGCACGAAGGCGTGAGTGGGGAAGCCTAGAGTCCACATGGTAGAAAGAAGGAAGAACAGAAAGTTGACCTCTGACCCCTGCAGGCATGCACTCACTCACAGACAGACACAGAATAAATAAATTTAAGAAAAAACCAAAACCCCACAACAGAATGTACCAGAAGAGACTTGTGATGGGGATGGAGGAGGATCTGTTAGACCCTGTGAGATTAGAGACCTCTGTTGCTAAGGGCCCTCTGTTGCTAAGGGCCTTTGTTATGGTTCTGTGCTCTCCAGGGGGAATGACTAGAGTTAGGCCCATAACCATGCTGCCTGGAAAAGAATGCACTGGCCAGGGTGTGTGCGTGTGCGTGTGCGTGCGTGTGCGTGTGTGTGTGTGTGTGTGTAGGGACCCTGAGAATCTTCCATTTACCCTTCATTCTCCCTCTCCAGCTCTGTTCTTTGCCCAGGAGACTAACCTGTGCAGACCACATCAGAGGGTTGTCTGGCTTCCAGTTGGTTGGGGGCTATGGAGCAGCCTCTGACAGGGAGAGAGTAGGATGGAGGACACTGATGAGCCTGTCACCATGGCTGCATTTCCATGAGGTCACAGTGGCCCAATCCTCCCCTAAGGCCAGCACTCCTCTTTAGGCACCCGCTCTGCCAAGATATCTTTCAGGTTTCTGTAGCCCATAGGATGAATCTCAAATGATCTGTGATGAAAAAGTTGTACAACCTTTTCTTTTCATTCTCTTGAGAAAGGACTCATGTAGCCCAGGCTGGCCTGAAAGCTGACCTTGAGTAACTGATCTTCCTGCCTCAGCCCCCCAAGAGCTGTGATTTGAATCTGACTCTGAAGATCAATTTTAATAATGACATACAGGACAGAGCACCAGTGCTCAGTGTGAATAATAAATTTCTTAAATGTGTGTGGGGTCTTTGCCTGCATGTATGTCTGTACCAATTCTGTTCCAGAGGCCAACTGAGGGTGTCAGATACCCTCAAGTAACATGAGGATGTGAGCAGCCATGGACCACATTGGTCCTTTGAAGAGCAGCCAATGCACTTATTGACTGAGCTATTTCTCTAACCCCAAGAACTCATTTTTTAATTCAAGAGGTTGCTGGAAATTTGAGGCTAACATGGTCTACATTCTCAAGTTTCAAATACCCTGGGCTACAGAGTGAGATGTGTCAATATCAAATTGATAGCCAGGTGGTGGCGCACGCCTTTCATCTCAGCACTCAGAAGGCAGAGACAGGAAGATCTCTGCGAGTTGGAGACCAGCCTGGTCTACAAAGTGAGTTCCAGGACAGTCAGGGCTAACAAAGAAACCCTGTCTTGAAAAACAAAGCAAACAAATCAATTTGAAGGCTGGGTATGGTGGTTCACAGCTTTACTCACAGCACTGAGGCAGAGGCAGGTCGATTTCTCTGAGTTCAAGGCCACCATGATCTACAGAGAGAGTTCTAAGCCAGCCAAGAACTACATAGTACTCTGTCTCAAGTAGATAGATAGATAGATAGATAGATAGATAGATAGATAGATAGATAGATAGATAGATAGATAGATAGATAGATAGATAGATGATAGATAACTATTAAAGACCTTAGAAAGTTTCAGAGATAGTGAAAGTTGTTTTTGAATACACACATGCCGTGATTTATTCTAGATGGATTGCCCTGGAGAGTTTTTTTGTTTGTTTGTTTGTTTTTTCCTTCCCTGAGACAGGATTTCTCTGTAGCTTTGGAGCCTGTCCTGGAATTCACTATGTAGACTAGGCTGGGCCTCCAACTCACAGAGATCTGCCTGTCTCTGCTTCTCAAGTGCTGGGATCAAAGCCATGTCCCACTACCGCCTGGCTTGCCCTGGGTAGTTTTATGCCAACTTGACACAAGCCAAAATCATCTGAGAGAAGGGAACCTCAACTTAGAAAAGGCCTGCAGAAGATCAGTCTGTAGGTAGGCAAGACTCTGAGGCTTTTTCTTAATTAGTGACTGATAGGGGAGCCCAGCCTGTTGTGGGTGGTGCCTTCCCTGGGCTGGTGGTCCTGGGTTCTGTAAGAAAGCAGGCTGAGCAAGCAAGCCATGGGGAGCAAGCCAGTAAGCAGTGCTCCTCCATGGCATCTGCATCAGCTCCTGCCTCCAGGTTCCTGCCCTGTGTCATTCCTGACTGACTCTTGGATGATGAACAGTGGAAGCGTAAGCCAGATGAACACTTCCTCCTCATGTTTCCGTTGGTCATGGTGTTTCATCACAGCAATAGAAACCTTGACTAAGACATGAACTAACAAAAAAAATTCAAGTAATGTCTCCAGAATTCATCACCATGGCAAGAGGGTTGGAAGTCTTGGGTGGCAAAAAGAGAAGGGGAGAGCAGAGTTCCCTTGTGTTTAGGCCCAGCCATCTCCCGGATCACACCAGCCCAAGTGGGAGGAAAGAGTCCTACACACACTGAGGACCTAGCATGGGGCGTCTGCAAGTTCATGGATGAGTTTCCCAGTTTACAGATGTGCATACAAGTAGTCAATACAGAGTCCAGCTCAGAATGACTTGACTTGTAAACCATTATTCCGTGAGTCATGGAGTGCTGCCCTGTGTCTGAGTGTGCACTGTGAAGATATAATTTGGGGGCTGGACAGACAGACAGACAGACAGCTCAGCACTTAGTACCTGCTGCTTTTCCAGAGGACCCAGGTTTGATTCCCAGAGCCCATATGGCAACTCACAACTCCCTGTAACTCCACTCCCAGGGCATCCTGTGCCCTCTTCTGGCCTCTGTGGGCATCTGGCACACACGTGGTAGCCTGACATACATTCAGACAAAACACCATTACACATAAAAATAAAACTCAAAAGATAGAAAATGCAACTTTCATCTCAAATCAGAAGGCCATTGTGCCTCCCCTCCCTTCCCAAACGATGGGCTTATGGTGAAGAAGACGGTGTTCTCCACACTGACTCTCTGGGCTGGGAATGAGATCACGGAACAGGCTCAGTGGAGAAGAGCTTAAATGCCAACAGTCCCAGGCTCCGTCGCCAGCAGGGGGCAGCACATAACTGCCCACGGCACCTGGGTCTCACACCCTCCTCTTAGTGGAGCGGCTTCTCCACAGCTCACTGGTGGCCAGATGACCCAGTGAGCCCTTCCCAGATGTGTGACCCGTGTGGTTGTCCAGGTGGCTAAGAGAGTAGTTTGGGACAGAGCACTGGAAGTACTCCAAGCCCGTCTTTTTTGTTTAGTTTTTCAAGACGGGGTTTCTCTGTGTAACCCTGGCTGTCTTGGAACTCACTCTGTAGACCAGGCTGGCCTCAAACTCAGAGATCCACCTGCCTCTGCCTCCTGAGTGTTGGGATTAAAGGCGTGCGCCACTGCTGCTGGGCTAAGTCAGTCTTAACAGCGAGGTTATTGCTGCAACAGAAAAGTCAAGTGCGTGGGGAGCATTGGACAACTTGTTAGAGAACAGAGCTATGCACAGACAGAGGGGAAACGTATTAGTTTAAAAGATGGGCTTAAGGACTAGAGAGACAGTTCAGCAGTCAAGAGCACTTGTTGCTCTTGTAGAGGATGGGGCTTCACTTCCCAGCACCTACGTGGTGGTTCACAGCCATCTGTAACTCTAATGCCAGAGGATCTGGTGCCCTCTTCTGACTTCCATGGGCATCAGGCATGCACATGGTGCAAAACATACATGCTGCAGGCCGCAGGAATATATCATAAGAACTCAGCTGGTTATGGCAAAGTCACTACCTAGAAGGATCAGGGAATTCCTCCAGAGGAAGCCAAATCCCAAGGAGTTTTTGGTGTTACTTGGCTTGTTATTATCAGCTGTATTCTGTTATGAAAATCATGTGTGCCTTCATAGCTTTCCCAATTGACTTTTCCCTAAGAAGGACTAACAGTGTAGACTGAGCACTCTCTGGACATACACATTCCAGGTATTTGGAGAACAGCCTCAGGGAAAGGCTTTCTCTGGAATCAGATATCTCCCTTGGCCACTTTCAAGGACTACAGGAAACACCACCCAGGTGGGCGCCCATTGTTAGTCCCAGGTGGACTAACAATGATAACAGCCCACATGCAAGTCTCCTGATTTACGGTAAATTCCACAAGGAGACACCGCCTAGGAGAGGTGGACGTTAAGTAGTAGCTTTACACAATTTAGCTCGGACCCTCCCTTTTTATACCGAGACTTCCAGGAGGCAGAGGAGAAGAGAAAGGAGAATGGAAGAACTAGATGGGTAAGAACTTGAGAGGAACAAACTGAGATGGGGAAGAAGTAGATTGAAGGGCTACAGGAGAGTACTAGAGGAACGAGATGGAAGATGAGGAAGAGCCAGTAGAACGAGAAGGAGACGGGAGAGGAGATGATATGGGGAAGAACAAGATGAAGTAGAACGAGAAGAGAGAAGAGACGGGAGGGGAGATGATATGGGAAGGAACAAGATGGATGAGAACCTAGAAGGGGCAGAACTAGATGAAGGAATTAAGATAGAACTTAGAGGGGATCGCAGACAAGTGTAGAGAGAAATCAGGCTAAAGATGATCTAAATATGAGAGCAGAATATAAGCTTATAACTGTCACAGAATAATCAAGTATATGGACTAAGGAGTTTTGTGTACATAGATTCACTTCTTTTCATTAAAGATTAATTATCAGCTGGTTGTAGATTCTTCCCGGACCCTGGGAGAGGACTATCGAGGGGCTGGACCCCCATAGTCCCCGATACATACATATAAATCTAAATAAAAAAACAACAACTAAACATAAAAAAGATGGGGATAGCAAGATTGTGGGTAAAGGGCCTTGCCGCCAAGACGGACGGACTCCCTAACTTCCATTCTTAGGACCCACGTGAAGGGAATCGAGAACCCACTCCCACAGGTTGTCCTCTGCCCTCTACGCACATCTTGAGAAAACAAAAGGAGGCCGTGTGGATGGAGAGGCCCACGTCTTGCACAGCACAGTCCACCAAAGCCTCTCTTCTGGGTGTCACCTCCTGTGGGCCTGTGAAGCACAGCACATACCAGGGCATGCTGGCACCCGTGGGGCCTGAAGTCATAGGTAACAAGATGTCCGCCCCTGTGCCTGTGAAAAAACGTAGGGGTACTTTGTAGATTCCCAATAAATGTGCTTAAACCATCAATAAAATAACAAAAGAATGGATTTCCCAATGGGTAAGTCTGTGTAGCAGGCACAGTAAAGCAGACCTGCTGGGAATGTCCCTTTCCAGGAAATGTGAAAACGAATGAGCCAAACCCATCCGTTAATAACACTCTCCAACTGTACAAATGAAGCTTCCAGACACAGTCCCCCGTAACCTCACACCCACCACTGCCAATAGCTTGCTCCCGTTATCCCCGCATTTATAGAAATCCTAGGGCAGCCCAGGGGGGAGGAAGGAGGGCTAGCTTCTCGGCTGGAGCTTTGTTCTGGGTGAAGGTCTGGTCTTGAACCTTAGAAGGTGAGAGAACCACATCCTGGTCTCACCCACCCACTCTTGTAAAATCAGACATGTGAGGACATCCTGTCCTAGTATATACCACCTGACCACTAGCTGCCTCCAGAGAGCCCCAGGCATCCCCCTCCTTATCAGGACATGCATAGATGCTCAAAGCCCCAAGCGGTGGAGGTCCTTGGCGAGTCATATGTGAGTCCTGCTTGTCCTAGGCATCAGGAGTTGGCCATTCCTCCTCAGACCTCCCTGATGAGGTCTGCCTCACCAACCACAGACATGGCCAAGGTGCTGTTGCTCATCTGCATCGCGGTTTATCCAGGTGACCAGGAGTTTGCAGGGACCTGGGGTGTGGGGATGGGGGAGTAAAGGAAGAGGTGGGGACTCAGATGCTCCAGAGGGTGCCTGGTGAGGGCTGGACACTGCCCTGAGGGGTGCAGAAAGCAGTCCAGAAAGCTGTTGCCTGTGGGCGCTTTCAAAAGACAGGCCTGCTAGGTCGCCCCCCACCCGAAAGGGTCATTTCTATCATCCTTCCAGAACCTTTGTTCTCGACCTCCTTCAAGAAAGCGAAACCTGAGAGGCCCTAGGAAGAAGGATGGAAGAGGAGGGATGGCATTTTGAGTTTGGCTATCAGTGTTATCTTTGCTTGTTTGTTTCTGAGACAGGCCAGTGGCCTAGCCATACATAGCGAAGGATGACCTTGAACTGGTTCTCTCATGCCCACCTCCCAGGTCCAAGGATTACAGTGGTGTACCACAACTCATGGTGCTGAGGATCGAAGCCAGGGCTCTGTGCATACTGCCAAATGAGTTAACCCCCACCCCCACCCCCGCCCCGCCCCACCCCGGCTGTATAGCCCAGCCTGGCCCTGACCTTTCAGGCCTCTGAGTCCCTTAGCCTCCTGAACGCTGAGATTCTGGGTTTGTACTAACGCACTCAGCTGGTTTTCTTTCGTTGATGTTTTTAATTTTTAAAAGTACATCAACTTGTTTTGGAGGTGGAACACACACCAGTCAAGGCTCGCACAGATCAAAGAATAACCTGTTCTCCTTCTGCTACGTGGGTCCTGGGACTTGAACTTGGGTCCTAAGGCTCTGTGGCCAGTGCCTTTACCAGCTAAGCCTTCTAGTCACTCTGATTTTCTTCCTTGAGGATTTAACTTGATGTATGACGTCTATTAGATTGTTAAGTTTATTAGAGAGGGTACAAATATATAATTAGGAGTTTGAGAGAATTATGTCTAAGGTAAATTTATTTTTTTTAAACTGAAACATTTTAGTTAATCAGAAGAATATAAAAAGCTATGTTCATTGGGTACAGACAGTGATTTCCAAACTGTAGATCTCAGACCCAAGATCATCAGTGCTGGGACCATTGGGCAAATTCTCCAGCTCTTCTGCAGATCTCTAGTGGGCCGGCCCATGGTAATGTTCTACTGATTGATTAATGGGTTGATTTTTTTTTTTCTATTTTGAATTAAGGTCTCACTATGTTGCCCTGGATGGCCTACAACTCTCTATGTAGTTGAGCTGATAATTGAACTTCTGGAGGTACTCTGGCTTAGGCTCCAGAGTGCCAGCCAGGATGACAGTCCTATATCATCATACTCAACTCACAATTATCTTTTAATGTAATGTTTATTCAGGAGATAGGATCTAAAATAGCCCAGTCTAGTTTTAAAATTAATATGTAGAGGCTTGAAAGATGACTCTGTGGTTAAGAGTACTGGCTGCTCTTCCATAGGACCAGGTTCATCTTCCAGCACCCATATGGTGGCTAGCAACCATCCCTAACTCCAGTTCTGGGGGATCTGACACCCTTTTCTGGCCTCCACAGGCAGTAGGTAGGCATGTGGAACACAGACATAACATGTAGGCAAAACACCCATACACATAAAAATAAATATTTTTAAATAAAAAAAAACAAATTAAATCAATATGTAGCCTAGGATGACCTTGAATTCCTGATTTTCCTGCCTCTACCTCACAAGTGCTGGTGTTATAGATATAAGCCTTCACACCTAGCTACTTTATTTGGTGGGAAGGTGTTTGAGACAGGGTCTGTCTATGTAGCTATAGCTGTTCTGGGACTTTCTATGTAGATCGTGCTGGCCTCAAACTTACAGAGATCCTCCTGCCTCTGCTAAGTGCTGGCCTGCTGCTGTAATGTTTTTTAATTTAGTTTATGTGTGTGGACATTATGTATGTGAACATGTGTGTGAACATCATTATGTGTGTGAACATTATGTGTGTGAATATTATGTGTGTGGACATTATATGTGTGGACATTATGTGTGTGAACATTATGTGTGTGGACATTATGTGTATGAACATTATGTATGTGAACATTATGTGTATGAATATTATGTGTGTGAACATTATGTGTGTGGACATTATGTGTATGAACATTATGTGTGTGAACATTATGTGTATGAATATTATGTATGTGAACATTATGTGTGTGAACATTATGTATATGGACATTATGTGTGTGAACATTATGTGTGTGAACATTATGTGTGTGAACATTATGTGTATGAACATTATGTGTGTGAACATTATGTGTATGAACATTATGTGTGTGAACATCATTATGTGTGTGAACATTATGTGTGTGAACATTATGCCTGCATTTATGTCTATGCATCACATGCACACCTGGTGCCCTAGGAGGCCAGAAAGCCAGAAGAAGATTTTAAAGCAGCTGGAACTGGAGTTATAGATGGCTGTGAGCCACCATGTAGGTACGTGGACAGGACCTGGGTCCTCTGGAAGATCAGCCAGTGCTCTTAACTGCTGAGCCATCTCTCCAGTCCCTACTCTAATGCGTTAACAAACACTCTAAGGTAGTGACTTTATTTCTAGCTACTTAAGTGACAGAGGCAGGGGGATGGGTTGGACCCAAAGATATCATAGCAAGACCTTAGCTTCAAAAAAAGGAAAGGAAAGCAAACTGGGGGTGGGAGTGTGGGGAGGTGGCTCATGCCTTTAATTCCAGCATTCAGGAGGCAGAGGCAGGTAGAGTCCTGTATAAGCTATATACCAGCTTATATAGTGAGTTTCAGGACAGCCAGGGTGACATAGTGAGATCCTGCCTCAAACAAACAACTTCAGATAATTCCAATACACTCTCCAGTTTGAGAACCACTGCATTTGAATGACCAGTAAATGTCCCTAGGTTTTGTTTGTTTGTTTGTTTGTTTGTTTTAAATCACAGACTCTAACAATGGGTTTAATTCATCAGTGTGGACATGTTAGAGTTCTCAAACAACTATAGATGTATCTTCACCTGGAATTTTTTCTTTTTCTGTTTATTTTTTGAGACAGGGTTTCTCTGTGTAACAGCCCAGGCTGTCCTGGAACTCACTTTGTAGACCAGGTTGGCCTGGAATTCAGAGACCTGCCTGCTGCCTCTGCCTCCCGAGTGCTGGGGTTAAAGGCATGCACCACCACCCGGCTTGCCAGCAACTTCTTGTATCACTACTTTTTTTCTCATTAGAGCATTAACAACATAAATTTCCAGGTGAAGCAGGGCAGTGGTGGTACACGCCTTTAATCCCAGCACTCAGGAGGCAGAGAAAAGAGGATCTCTGAATTCAAGGCCAGCCTGGTCTGCAGAGAGAGTTCAGGACAGCCAGGGCTGTTACTCAGAGAAACCCTGTCTTGGGGAAAAAAAAAAACAAAACAAAGCAACAAAACTTTAAAAATTAATTAATTTAGTTTATGTGCATTGGTGTTTTGCCTGCATCTGTGTTTGTGTGTCAGGTGTACAGAAAACAAAGATCAAACCAACACAAAACTCTAGCAAACATAAGGCAAAAACCAACTCCCACCACAACAACAGCACCTGGGGTGACCACAATGGCGTCACTTAGCGAGGCAGCTGCATTCATCCCAGTGGATCACGGTGGGCGAACTGGATTTCTAAAGAAGGTGGGCTGTCTGTGGGCGGGAGTCAGTGTGTGAAAGAATTTGAAAACTAAGAAATTAAACTAGTGAAGAGGAAAAGGTTTAATGAGATGCTCAGGGTGCTCGTCCCGACACACCCTCATGAGGAAAGTTGGGGTGTCCTCCAAATGCTTTTCTCTTTGGATTAACTGGATAGGTGTTCTCTGGATATTTGCTTTCTTCGCAGGATCCTGTGCTCTCTGGGTGTCTCAGCCCCCTGAGATTCGTGCCCGGGAGGGCACCACTGCCCTCCTGCCCTGCTCCTTCAATGCCAGCCAAGGGACGGTGGCCATTGGCTCTGTCATGTGGTACCAAGAAAAAGTGGCCCCAGGGATGGAGGTGAGCAACATGACCCCAGAGTTCGGGGGCCGTGTGGCCTCTTTCGCCGCTGTCTCCCAATTCACCAGGGACCACACGGCAGAGCTGCTCATACAGGACGCCCGAAGCCATGACACCGGAATCTATGTGTGCAGGGTGGAGGTGCTAGGCCTGGGCATCGGAACAGGAAACGGTTCTCGGCTGGTGGTGGAGAAAGGTGAGGTGGTGGGAGACCCCGAGATGCAATGTTCCTGGGAGTTCAGGACTGTCCCCAGCTCTGAGTTCCCAGCTCCCCCTCTCCACTTCCTGCTGCAGAGCCTCCTCAGCAAGCCTCAGAGCAAGCAGACCACACAAGTCTCCTCCTCAGGGCTGGATTCTATGCCCTCAGCTTTCTCTCTGTGGCCACGGGCAGCACCCTCTATTATCAGGGCAAATGTGAGTTGCTAAGCGGGGGCATTGGTGGCAGAAGTGGGAGGAACAGAGTGCAAGAAGAGCTTCCGGACTGTAGCTCTGAGCAGCCCCTCTGTGTCTCCCCAGGCCCCTGTCACGTGGGAGCACACCTCCGACAGCCTGAGAGGAGTGATTTCTAAATCTCAGCGACCCAGCACTCTCAAAGACCAGCAATAAATCCGCATCTGCTCCCCCCTCCTACTTAGGACTCTCAAGTATTTTCTTCATTCCCCCGACACCCTGTGCTCCTCTCCACAGCCCCTCCCCCAGCTCTTGGCTCTCCCTTCTACCAGGACTGACACAGAAGGGTCCAGAGACCTTTCTACTTGCTGTCCTTAGTGCTAAGAGCTGCCTCCCGCCACCACACCACACCCGCCTGCCCTGGGCTCTGAGGCTGTGGCTGCAGCAGCTGCAAAACGAAGATTGTCACAGCCGATTTGACCCCTTGTCAACTGTACCTTGGTGACCACAAGCTGTTTACTGGCTTTTAGAGAAGCTGGGGTTCCTTCCTCACTCAGTGACTACTGACCCCAGGCCGGTGGGAGGGTGAGGCATGGACTGGAGACTTACGGAGAAGCCTGACACAGAAGTAGGGAACCAGTCTTTACTAAGTGAACACAGGGTGACTTTGACCATCCACCCAGGTCGGGGGAGGCGTTTGGGGTGCTCAGGTGGGTTTGTTCTTGGCGATGCAGGCGTAGTCAGTGCTGGGGTCCTCCTTCATGCCCTCGCCCTCCTCTCTGTCTGTGATATCACTGCTGGACACGGGCAGCTTCTGTAGAGATGCATAATGGAGCTCCAGCTCTGGGGCCTGGGCCTGGCGAGGCAGAGGACTACGATGAGGGCCCCGGTGCCATCCTCACACCCTCCCCAGCCCTGCCCCAGCTCCCATCTGTCTGTCTGCTGCCTCTGCCTCCTTTCCTTCTCTTTCTGAAGCTCCCCTCGGCCACCCAGGTGTTCACTCTCGACTCTCACCCATGTCTCTCTCTGACTGTCAGGCTCTCTTTTGCTTTTCCTCTCCCGCTCTTCCTCTTTCCTTCCTCCTTTCTGTCTGTCTGTCTGTGGTGTACGCGCATCTGCCTGTGCTTGTGTAGGCCAGAGCGCTTGGATGCCTTTCCAACTGTTTCCACACTTATTATTATTATTATTATTATTATTATTATTATTATTATTATTATTATTATTGACAGAGCTCTCCCTAAAACTGGAATTTGCTATGCCCACTAGGCTGGCTGGCCAGAGTCCCCTAGGACCTGCCTGTCTGCACCCCGCAGTGCTGGGATTCCAGGCACGGGCCACCACAGCAGGCTGCAGCAAACATTTTTCTTAGAGGCCCCTCCTTTTTTGAGACAGGGTCTCGTTGTAGCTCAGGCTGGCCTTCAACTGGATATGTAGTTGAGGACAAGCTCCTTGCCTCTTCCTGGACTTCAGGCATGTACCGCTGCTCTGGTTTTATGCTGTGCTGGAAATCCAGCCCAGGGCCCTGTACAGGCTACACAGACGCTGTCGAGTAAACCACACTGCTGGCCACTTTCGCTCTTCCCTCTCTCTGCTTCTGTTGTTGTTTTGAGACAGGGCCTCTCTGTGTAGTCCTGATTGTCCTGGAACTCTTCTCTCTGCAGTCTCCTCCCTCACTCATTCTTTCTTGGTCATTGTTCTGGAACTGTTTTATAGTCTTACAAACACACTGTTTCCTCCTCTTCTCATCGTCTCATTTCTCCTTCTGCCTCTCTCGTTTTCTCCTTCCCTCCTTCTTCCTCTTCCCCTTTCTCTTGGCTCCCACCCCTACATCCCAGCCCCTCCCTACTTGGGTTTCCCTCACCCCAGACTCACCCTGTTCCTTTCCAGTCGCTTCACTGGAAGAAAAAAAAAGTGATTCAGCAAGACCCTCCCCAGCCCCCACCCCAGAACGGCACCCCAAGCCTGCTCGTCCACCCTGGGCTCTCCAACCCCAGACAGCCCTCCACAGCACACGGGCTCCCCCACTTGTCCTGGGACTGTCATGGGAACCACAGTCAAAGCCGGGGCCTGTTGGACACTGCTCTAAAGTCTCCTCTCCCCTCTCCTACGGGACTCTGACTTCTGCCCTCACAGCAGGAAGGGTTTGGGGGCGGTGAGCTGTAGGTGGCTGTGGGAGGTGAAGGTAAGGCTCACCTCTCCGATGGATCCGGCACAGGCAGGTGAACAGAATGAGGACAAGCAGGAGGAGGAGCCCTCCCAGCGCCAGGCCCCCATACTGCAGGTATTGAAGTATGCGAATCTTTTCTTCCATTGCTTTCCCAATCCCCTGGTTAAATGGCAATTTCACAGTTCCTCTATTGTTTTTACCTTTTTCTTTCATCTTTTCTTCCTCCCCATCTCCACTTTCTTTCTATTCTTTGACAATTTCGTACATATCTACAAAGTCTCTTGATCATCTCTCCTCCCTCCTCCCTCTCCTCCTCCCTCCCCTCCTACCAGTACTTCTCCAGCCTTTCTGTCTCTTTCTTTCCTGCTGACAGAGTCTCACGTTTTCCTGGAGGCCTCAAATTCACTACATAGCCAAGTATGCTTGAATTTCCAATCCTCCTGCCTCCACCTCTTGAGCGTTAGGTTGACAAGTGTATACTACCGTGCATGCCTGTTTTATGTGGTTCTGGGGTCAAAGCCAGGGCTCTACAGCCCTCTAACAATTTTACATGCAGGAAAATAGTACTCTAGAAGGTGTATTTATTTATTTTTTTGAGACAGGGTTTCTCTGTGTAGCCCTGGCTATCTTGGATCTCGCTCTGTAGACCAGGCTGGCCTCGAACTCACAGAGATCTGCCTGCCTCTGCCTCCCAACTGCTGGGATTAAAGGCGTGCG